GCAGCGAATAGAGACAGCTGCTGCAGCAGTCTGGAAGTAAAGTCTGCAGCATCAGCACCAGCAGCTGCTGCTGCTGTTGCTGCTGCTGCTGCTGTCGTGTGCATGCGCGCGTACATTTGTATGGGGCTGGAGGTGCGTAGAAGTTGAGGTGTATAAACAGAGTAATTAATTGAATATTAATTAATAAATAAAAATCTATTAGAATAATTATTAATTAAATATTAATTGTTAAATAATTATTTATTAATATCTTCGGTCTCCTCGACAGATAAGGAGACAGCAGCAGAGACAACCCCTTTGCTGTTGTCTCCTGCTGTCTCCTTCGTTACACACACAACAGTACTGTCTCCGGCCTCTCCCTCTATAGACAAATTAAAAAGAGACAGTGATGGCTGCTGTCTCCTCCTAAATACACAGACAGCTAGCTACTTCTTCTACAGATAGACACACAGAGACAGAGACAGAGACAGAGACAGACAGACAAAGAGAGAGAGAGAGAGAGAGAGAGAGACAGAGACAGAGAAACAGAGACAGCTTTTGTTAAAGAAAATAATGAAGGCGTGGAGACACATTGCCTCAATCTACTGTCTCCCTGACCCTAATAAACTGTCTCCTTTGAATTTATAACATATATCAACCGCTAAACAACTTCATACCAACTAGCAAACCCGTGGAGCCCTGTCAGCAGCAACAGCAGCAGCAGCTGCTGCTGTTGCTGTTACTGTTGTTGTTGCTGCTGCTGTTGCTGCTGCTGCTGCTGCTGCTGCTGCTGCTGCTGCTGCTGCTGCTGCTCGCCGCAGCAGGGGAGGAGACAGGTAAGAACAGATTTACAAATTTGAAGTGTAAGGAGAAAGACTTAATACACAACTCAGCTAAAAAATAAATAACTTTATATTAGCTAAGAAAAAGAAAGACACTGCAAACGGGATTTTGCTGCTGCTGCTGCTGCTGCTTCTGCTGCAGCAGCTGCTGCTGCAGCTGTTGCTGAGGGTGCTGCTATTGCTCTTGCTATTGCTGTTGCTGCCTCTGCTGCTGTTGCTGCTGTTGCTACTGCTTCTGTTGCTGTTCCTGCGGCTGCTGCTGTTGCTGTTGTTGCCGCTTCTTTCTCTTGCACTACTGGCTCTTGCTGCTGTTGCTGCTGCTGCTACTGCTGCTGCTGCTGCTGCTGCTGCAGCTAGAGACCGAGGTTTTTTACTGTTACGGGTATTTTATCAATATCGATGTCTATCCAGCAATCAAACTCCTCTATTTGTATATGAATCTCTCCTCGTGCCTGCATGCAGCCCCAAACGCACAGTACTGTTGACTTCAAACGCAACAAAAATAATAATTAACAAATTAAAAATATATTTAAAATTAATTTAAAACTAATTAACGATAAATTAAAAACGTAGCACAGACAAAAAGAGAAAGGAGACAGGAGACAGCAACAACAACACAAAATGAAGACAGACTGACAAACACAAACAAATTAAATAAATAAATAAATAAATAAACAAATAAATAAATAAATAAATAAATAAACAGCATTCATAGATAGGTGGGTGCAGTAAAGAATGATAATGCATATTGTTTAGATTATAATAAACATATAATATCTAACATATAATATAAGCTACACAATATAAAATATATTATAAAGTATATAATATATAAACTAAATACTATAAAATAAATGCAATAAAATATACAACAAAATAAATTAAAGACAATTATATAAATATATAATAAAATAGATTAAAGGGCACCCTTTAAATATACAATAAAATAAAAGAATAATAATTACATCTATAATAAAATAAACTGAAGACAATTATTTAAATATAGAATAAGATAAGATAGATTATAAAGACAATGCTACAACAATAGGATAGAAGTATATAAATATAAACATATATATATAGATATATATATACATATACATATATATATATATATATACATATATATATTCTTTTATTCTATAAATATACGCATATATATATATATATATATTCTTTCATTCTATTAACAAATAAATATAAATATAAATATAAATATAAATATAAATATAAATATAAATATAAATATAAATATAAATATAAATATATATACCTGTACATTTGCGACTTTGTCTGCATTAACTGCAATGCTTCTGAGTACAGTGGACAACAGTGCGAATGTGCCGTCTTTAATCTGCGGTTTAATTTGAACCGGAGACGATTTGCTGATGCTTCGCGGATTTATTATGTCAGGTTTGCTTCGCTTGTCTATCACCATCGGACCCAGAGAGCTGCATATACACCCCAAATATATACATATAAAAGATTCTGTATATATCTATCTATATATATATATATTTGTATATATTTATGCTGATATATCTATATATATATATATAGATATCAATACGCACATGTAGATATATATACATACATATATATTAACATACATATATGCATGCATTATATATAAACATATTTATGTACATAAATATATATATATATAACAATATATAAATAAATAAATAAGTAAATGTATCTATATATAAATAAATAAACAAATAAACAAATAAACAAACGAAGATAAATAGACGACTAAATACGAAAACAACAAACAAACAAAATAACAAACTATCAACCAAAATAACTAACCAAATAAAATAAATAAATAAATTAATAAATTAATTAAATTAAATAAACTAATTAATTAATTAATTAATTAATTAAATATCCATATACCTTCCTTCAAAGAAAGTCTCGAGCTGCGCATAAAAAAACTTTATCGTCGCAGCTGTTGGATTCTCAAAGACAGCGACTGCCTCAACAACCGGCTGAAAATTTCTAAACTGAACGCATGCAAACAAATTAATTTAATTTAATTTAATATTATATATATATTAATTTAATTTAATGTTATGTGTATATATATATATTAATTTAATTTAATATAAAAAGTAATATTATATTGTGTTATGTTATATTACGTTATGTAATATCATGTTGTATATTGTAATATATAATATAGTGTTGCATATTGTAATATAATATAATGTTGTATAATATAATACGATATAATATAATATTAATATAATATCATATAATATAATATCATAACATATCATATAATATCATAACATATGAT